CAGCTCTGTGTTGGGTTCTGGTGTGTAAAGTATGAAGTGGAGGGGGGCTGTTAGTGTGTGGAGCTCCGAATTGGGCAGGGATCAGGTGTGAAGGTGACCTTCTCAAAGGTCAGAGAAAGAAAGATAAATTTCATCTCTCTCCCCACCCGTTACAATAGCCTCCTCTTCCACAATTAGCCAAATAACCAGGTAGTGTCTGTGTGTGGGGTGAGGCTGTATCAGAGGCCTGTGAGGGGGTGTATGGAAGAGGTGATGCTTAGACCATTGGGCTTATCTAATTCTAACCCTTGGTGAGGAAGAGAGGAACCTTCCAGAAAGGAGATTGGCATCCTAGCTAGCCGGGAGTAATAGAGTCTCAGATGAGGGATACGGCTATGAGAAACCCAATATGTATGTGGGTCTTGGAAATGGGCTTTTTCGTTTGTTTGTTTGTTTGTTTGGCTGCACCGTGCTGCTGCATGTGAGATCTTTTTTAAAAAATTGATTATTTACTTATTAATTTTCTTTCTTTCTTTTTTTTTTGGTTGCGTCAGGTCTTAGCTGCGGCACGCGGGGTCGTTGTTGAGGCATGTTCTTTCGTTGTGGCGCGAGGGCTTCTCACTAGTTGTGGCGTGCGGAGTTTCTCTAGTTGTGTCACTCGGGCTCCAGGGCGTGTGGGCTCTGTAGTCGTGACACGTGGGCTTAGTTGCCCCACGGCATGTGGGATCTTAGTTCCCTGACTGGGGATGGAACTTGGGCCCCCTGTGGAGATGGGCTTTTTATCATCTGCTCCTGTCTCTCTTGTTCCTCCAGATCTTGCCTTCCAGTATTACACTAGGAGCAATCTGGTCCGGATATGCCTTGGGGCTGTGATTCTAATACTCCTGGTGGGGCTGCTGGCAGAAGATTGGCACAGCCGAAAGAAACCCCTGATGCACCGGGTCAGAGCTGTCCACAGGCCGCTCCCACCCCTCCCTCAGACCCAGAAGTTACACAGTTGTCAGGACGGGGGTCAACCAGATGATCATAACTGAGGATACCATCATTAGAAGCCCAAGGCTTGGTTGTATCTAAGAGATAGGTCATGGGAGTGGGGAGGGGACTTAGTGTGGAGTGTGAGAGTAAAAGGATAGAGCCTACAGCTGTGGAAAAGGAGGGCGGCGGGGGGGATGTTCTTCTTGGTGCCCCATCAAGGAGTTGTTGAGTCAGTGTCTATTGGCTCTATGTCCTAGGACTCTCTTTGTTTGGGATGGAAGGAATCTAGTGGCTACCATAGTCTCCTCACTGATACCTTGCTCACTGTGGACCTTGTGGCACCTCACTTGGGCCATCACACTTATCTCTTTCTTCAACCTTCCCTAATACGAGTTCCAGATCGACTTCTAATATTCCCACCTCTCACAGCTGACCTGTTCTATCCTTTGCACAAAACTCTCCCACGTTTCCCCCCGTGCCCACCCCGTGCTTTTTTTTTTTTCTTTTTTTTTTTAACTGGAGTATAGTTGATGTACAATGTTGTGTTAGTTTCTGGTGTACAGCAGAGTGAATCAGTTCTGTGCTTTTTTTTTTCTGATTATCCCCAAACCTAACCCTTGTTCTCTCCGTATCTTAAGCTGTAGTCTGAAAAATCTCCTGTTGTTTCTCGAGATGTGCCTGGTTCTTTCAGGCTTTGGGGCATCCTGTTCTTTTCCCTTAGAATATGATAATAATTATAACCAACGTGCCAGTGGCTCGCCTTTGTATTAGAAAAAAAGTCCAAAGTCCTTACTAAGTTTGTGCTAAAGGCTAGAATATGTAAATCCATAGAGATAGAAAACAGAGTGGTTGGTTGACGGGGGTTGAGGGGAGAAAGGAATGGGAGTAATTACATAATCAGTATTTTTTTTTTTTTTTTTTTTTTTT